TGTTATATGAGTAGATAACTGGTTGTATAGTCACTGTCATGTCAGTCACCTTTATTTACCAGGAACTTATCTGGTACCTGTTGTCCAAATGAATTAGGAAGAAGACATCCTAGAATGTATCTTTTAACACATTTTTCATTTTTCTCCTTTTTTTTTTCTTCTTCTTCTTTTTCATTTGTGTTTGCCCATAAAAAGTAGGATTAGCATGTTGTGTTGTAGTCTGGAGCTAAACTGCAGAATCTGCACCTTACAGCCTAGCACTTCTGATTTCAACAAACCCCTAGTTAGTTTCCTTGTATGACATGCTTAGTTGAGGTGGTGGGTAGGGAGCAGCAGGTCTGTTCTTAGATTGTTTGTGCCAAAAATGGGTTAACCCAAACTCTAACCCTGTGTGAGCCATGGGGAATGAGGGACTTAGCAAATAGAGACCACTGATGAAAAAATTATGTTTAGATATGTACCTTATTTTATAGTAACATAAACCACTTTGAGATGCAGCCTCAGTCATATTTTACAGCGAAGAAGTGTCTCAATCTTGTATGTTTTCTACAAAAACATTGAGAGCACCAGCGCAGCCTCCCCTTTATCGCACAGATGCCTGCACACACACACACACACACACACACACACACAGAGAGAGAGAGAGAGAGAGAGATACATATGTACACATACACATGATAAAAACCACAAAAGAGATGTCTGGACAGAAATGGTCTCACACAAACAAAACTGGTTACCCTCATTAAAAGGAGACAATCAGCATTTTGTGTTACATGATATGAGAGGTGGAGTCAACAGTGGCAAAGTTCTCATTCTAGATTAAGTACGTCTCTTATTTGGCTTCTTAACCTGTCTACCAAGTTTTCTAATCTTGTGAGTGTGGACAGCAAGGTAGAGATTGGATCCTGTCTTAGTTACCCAAAATGTTTAGGTTACCAGGCCATAGAATATTATGCTGCTAATCACACATGTTTCATGACCTCTTTCTGGGTGGCTGTCACATTTTAGGATCTCTATTTCTTAGTGCCTGCGAGCTACCCAAGATCTTTTGAAAGTACACATTGGATTCTGTCTTAGTTACCAGAAATGCTATCTACCCTAAATCAGGCCATGGAATTTTCTGGCGGCTGTTTCTAAATCAAACCTCATGTTTCATGACCTAATTCTGGGTAGCTGTCATGTTTTATAACCATTTTCTAGGTAGCTATGTGTTACCCAGGATCGGTTGTGTAACCTCCTGATAGTTGTAGCTTCTCATTCTTCTGATATTTGTGGTTGCTCATGTATCCCTTTATTGCCAGAGACAAGCAGGGATTTTTACTGTACTTTTGTGTGTTACGTGTTTTGAAACTGATGTATGATAGGTAAAAGTTGTCACAGACTACTTAAGTGTCACAAGTATACTACTGTTTATAGTGCACATATCTTCTTCTCCTCTCTTCTTCTTCTTCTTCTCCTCCTCCCCCTCCTCTTCTTCTTTTTTTTTCTTTCTTTTTAATGTCCTCTTTTACCACTTTGTGTGTTAAGGAGCTATAAGGTTTTGCTTCCTGCTGTTCTGGCCGCTTTGATTATAGACATGTATCTATCGTTGTAGAGTTTCTCTGATGTTATCTTGTTCTTGGTTTGCTTGTGCTGCACATTTTTTTTTCTTTTTTTTTTTTTTTTTTTTGATGTAATGCCTAGTATGGTTTAGCATCACAGAGTGTTCTCTCTATGTTGGCAAACCATTTTATTTGCCTGTCACCTCATAGAAATTTATGAAAATCACACATATTTATATATAAAACACTTTGTAAAAGGCAACCAATTAAGGACGTTCTTAAATTAGCTGTTTTTCGCTAAAAAGTGCTGATGTCACAGCCTAGGTGTAAACTGCATCATAATGTAGCAGCTGACCTATTGAGGACAAACACACAAAAAAGAAGAAGAAGAAGAAAACGAAGAAGAGGAGGAGGAGGAGGAAGAACAAATGAACTTTATATTCAAAGGTTCACAAATTGGGCACGCAGGCATATCTTACATTCAGTCCTTCCGAACACTCATCTTTCACACAGCAGTCATATTTTATCAGAAAAGCATGTATGTTCATATAATAATGTGCATATTATGAATATCAAGAGAAAAACAAAAGCATGGGCGGTAAAATTTATGCACACACTCGCACGCATACACACACAAACCCACCCACTCACACAGATAAATTACACCCACATACATACATAAATACTTACATACAAATGCATGGGTGGTAAAATGTATGCACTCACTCGCATGCATACACACACCAGCCCACCCACTCACATGCATAAAATGCACCCACATACATACATAAATACTTACATACATACATGCATGCATGTGTGCTTGCAGTCGTACGGACATACATACATACATCCGTACATACATACATGCATAAAGACACAAACATCCCCACACAGACACACACGCACCCACAGACACACACACACATACACACAAGCAGACACAAATACACACATACACCAACACACACACAAGAAGCCACACACAAACACGTACACACAGACACACACACACAAACACATGCAGATGCACAGATGCAGAACACGCAGACACACATATGCAGACATACAGACACATATAGACATGCACAACAAAGACAAAGGCAAACACATACAGACACACATGCAGAAACATACACATGGATAAACACACCAAGATATGCAGTCATACACACAGACACACAGGCACACATGCAAACACACATAGACATATCCACACAGACATACACATACACATACACAGAAACACATACAGACACACACATACACAGACAGACACATCAAGAGACACCACATGCAGACACAAGCAGATACATACACAAATGCACACATGCACAGACACACACACCCAGACACACAGACAGACACACAGACATACACACACACACAAAAACAGAGGGAAAGCTAACAGATACATTTGAAATAAAAAACAGGTGTGCGACAGGGATGTCTTTTGTCGCCTCTCTTATTTTTACTGGCTATAGACTGGATTATGAAAACAGGAACTGCTAACACCAAGAATGGAATTCAGTGGACCCCTACAAAACAGCTTGATAATCTGGACTTTGCTGATATTTCTCTTCTGTCCCATTCACGGAATCAGATGCAAGATAAATTAAATATACTTGATGTGAAATCACAGCAGCTTGGTCTGAAAATCCATAAAGGAAAGACAAGGATAATGAGAATAAATCATGCAAATAGTAATAATGTGGTTTCTCTAAATGGCACCCCACTCCAAAACGTAGAGTGGTACACCTATTTGGGCAATAATGTAGATAAAGATGGAGAAACTGATAGAGAAAATAAAAGAATACAAAATTCAAGAGGAGCTTTCATAGCACTAAGGAATTTGTGGAGGTCAAAAGAAATTAAAAGAAATACTAAACAAAAAATTTTTAATTCTAATGTCAAATCAGTACTTTTTTATGGGGCAGAAACATGGAGAACAACTAAGGCAATTAATAATAAATTACAGACATTTATTAACTGGTGCCTGCGCAGAATAGAGGGAATTAAATGGTATGATAGAATAACTAATGTAGAGCTTTGGGAGAGAACTAAACAAGCTCCAGTGGACCAAGAGGTGAGGAAAAGACACGCGTTGGATAGGACACACATTGATAAAACAGAATAACAGCATAACTAGAATGTCTTTGCATTGAAACCCACAGGGGCATAGGAATAACGGAAGGCCAAAAAAAAACACACGGAGAAGAGAGCTGGAGAATGCAGTTAGAAAGATGGGGAGGATATGAGGGGAGCTCCGTGTAATGGCGAAGGATAGAATGACTTGGCGTGAATTGGTTAGGGCCTATGCTCCATTGGGAGATAGAAAGGCAGAAAAAAAGGAGACAGACACACACACGCAGACAAACAGACACTTCCACACACATGCACACAAAAACAGATATACCTACACACAGACTTAAACACACAGACACAGAAAAACACACAAACACACATGCAGATACACAGACACATACAGACACACACAGTCACATACAGACACAAGCACATACACAACAAAACACACACATACAGACACACACACACAGATGCACTCACAGACAAACACACAACCACATACAAGCAGACACACTCAAACACACACACAGACACATACACACAGCCACATACACACACACACACACACACACAGAGAAACACAAGCAGACAAACACACACATACAGACACACACAGACACACCCAGTCACGTGCACACACACAGATACACACAGACAGACAGACACACACAAATACACACACAAAAGCATACAATTACCTATACACACATTCATACATACACAGACTGCTACATACACATGCACAGATACTTACCGCACATATAAATGTCACACATACATGCATACATACATACATAAACCATACACACCTTATTGAGTCATAAATTGATAATGCTGTATGGATTAATAACTACATTTATAGTGGTATATAATCGCTTGTAAGAAGAAGATGAAGAAAAAGACAAGATGAATAAGAAGAAAATGAAAAACATAAAGATGAAGAAGAAAAGGCAAAGAAGAAGACGATGAATAATAATAATAATAATAATATATAATACTGTCAGTGAGCCAGCTTCCATCAATGTTGAGATATTTGTTAAAATTAATGTGATGTAGGATATTGTTTTATCACTTTTACATTTTCTTTTCTTTTCAGGAACACCCCAGACAGGAAGTAAATGAACCTTGTCAAACATTTAAGCAGAACAGAAACCTAAATGAAAAATATAAGAGTTGATACTTCTCATTTCTTTTGTAACAGCAGCTTCATGTATCCTAGATGAGCATTCCTTTCTGAGTATTTGCTAATTTTGAAAGCTCTTCAGTTTTAAAAAAAAAAAATTCCACTTCATTGGGTGGGTTATAAATGTTTTCCAGTGATACAGAGTCAAGTCCATTTTTTCAGCGTGGAGTGAGAAGGAATATCAAGCTATGACAAACAGCTTGCCAGCCATGGACCGCAGCCATACAGCTCGGGTCAGCAGATCTGGCGACACCTGTGCCCAGAATTTGTGTGTGGCCAACTTCTATAAGAACAAAACAGTCTTCATCACAGGAGCTACAGGGTTCATGGGCAAAGTCCTCATGGAGAAGCTCCTGCGCTCCTGTCCAGGAATCAAGAAATGCTACACACTGGTTCGTCCCAAGAAGAATCAGACACCACAGGAGAGGATGGAGTCAGTTATTAAATCAAAGGTATGTGTGCAAGAGACAGTAGAGTCAGTTATTGAATAAAAGTTATGTGTACAAGAGACAGTAAAGTCAGTTATTGAATGCAAGGTATGTGTACAAGAGACGGTAGAGTCAGTTATTGAATGCAAGCTATGTGTACAAGAGACAGTAAAGTCAGTTATTGAATGCAAGGTATGTGTACAAGAGACAGTAGAGTCAGTTATTGAATGCAAGATATGTGTACAAGAGACAGCAGAGTCAGTTATTGAATGCGAGGAATGTGTACAAGAGACAGTAGAGTCAGTTATTGAATGCAAAGTATGTGTACAAGAGACATCAGAGTCAGTTATTGAATGCAAGGTATGTGTACAAGAGACATCAGAGTCAGTTATTGAATGCAAGGTATGTGTACAAGAGACATCAGAGTCAGTTATTGAATGCAAGGTATGTGTACAAGAGACAGTAGAGTCACTTATTGAATGCAAGGTATGTGTACAAGAGACAGTAGAGTCAGTTTGTGAATGCAAGGTTTGTGTACAAGAGACATCAGAGTCAGTTATTGAATGCAAGGTATGTGTACAAGAGACAGTAGAGTCACTTATTGAATGCAAGGTATGTGTACAAGAGACATCAGAGTCAGTTATTGAATGCAAGGTATGTGTACAAGAGACAGTAGAGTCAATTATTGAATGAAAGGTATGTGTACAAGAGACAGTAGAGTCAGTTATTGAATGCAAGGAATGTGTACAAGAGACAGTAGAGTCAGTTATTGAATGCAAAGTATGTGTACAAGAGACATCAGAGTCAGTTATTGAATGCAAGGTATGTGTACAAGAGACAGTAGAGTCACTTATTGAATGCAAGGTATGTGTACAAGAGACAGTAGAGTCAGTTTGTGAATGCAAGGTATGTGTACAAGAGACATCAGAGTCAGTTATTGAATGAAAGGTATGTGTACAAGAGACAGTAGAGTCACTTATTGAATGCAAGGTATGTGTACAAGAGACAGTAGAGTCAGTTATTGAATGCAAGGTATGTGTACAAGAGACAGTAGAGTCAGTTATTGAATGCAAGGTATGTGTACAAGAGACAGTAGAGTCAGTTATTGAATGAAAGGTATGTGTACAAGAGACAGTAGAGTCAGTTATTGAATGTAAAGGTATGTGTACAAGAGACACCAGAGTCAGTTATTGAATGAAAGATATGGCTACAAGAGAGGTAAAATCAGTTATGAAATGAAAGGTATGTGTGCAGGAAGCTGTGGAGTCAGTAAATCAATGGTATGTGTTCAGTAATATCGGAGCAATACCACCAACACCAAAAACGTATGTACTATGTGTTTAAAAAAGGCCTTTGATAGAGTATGGCATACAGCACTCTGGGGCACTATGAAAAAGTAAAATATGGGTAAAGACCTCATATGTAATATAGAACAGCTTTATGCCAAGGCCAGTACTGCGGTCATATTAAACGGACAAATAGGGAGCTGTAGGAGTCCATCAGGGCTGCCTCCTCTCCCCAATACTGTTTAATATCTTCTTTGAAAGAATTATGACTGAGGCCCTAGAACAACATCATGTAACAGTTAGTATAGGAGGCCGAACTATAACAACTTTCAGGTTTGGAGATGACGACCATGGATTGGTCGGGGAAGAGCAAGAGTTAGTAAAGCTAGTAAATCTGCTCAATGAAACATCAGCCAAGTATTGCATGGAAATAAATGCAGAAAAAACAAAAGTAATGAATAAATAATCCAGCTGGCAGAATTTTGCAAATCTATGTTGAAGGTCACAAATTAGAACAAGCCAATTATTTGAAAAATTTAGGATCCATTTTATGTGACTAGAAATTCTGTCTAACATTGCCCAGACAACATAAGTACATCAGTCCTTGCCAAGCAGCAGACATTATGGAGATCCAAATGCGTTTCATGCAAAACTAAGATTTGATTGCTCAGAGCACTAGCTGTTAGTACATTTACATATAGTTGTGAAATGTAGACCTTAACAGCTGAACTCGAAGGGAAAATACAGGCATTGGAAATGCGATGTTTCAGAAAAATTCTTGGTATATCAGGCAGAGACTACATTACACACGAAGATGTTCGCTGTATAATTATACAGCACTTTGGCTGCTATGAAGCTCTTTTAATTACAGTGAAAAGGCAAAAAATGCAATGGTATGGACATGTAGTAAGATCTAACGACCTCTCAAAAACAATACTGCAGGGCTCCTTAGAAGGAAAGAGAAGAGGCAGACCAAGAAAGACCTGATCATAGAACCTGACTGACTGGACCGGCCTCAGGCATGCAACCATGAAGTCCATCGCAACTGACCGCCAAAGGTGGAGAGAGCTGATCAGACTGTCAACAGAAACTGGTGACCCAACGATGCGTAGTGTTACGGGATAATGATGTGTTGAAGAAACAGTAGAATCAGTTATTGAATGAAAGGCATGTGTACTAAAAAGCCATGGAGTCAGTAAATCAAAGGTATGTGTACAAGAAGGGAAATAATAAGTTATAGAATCAAACACATGTGTACAAGAGACAGAAGAGTCAGTTATTGAATGAAAGGTATGTGTACAAGAGACAGTAGAGTCAATTATTGAATGAAAGTTATGTGTACAAGAGACAGTAGAGTCAGTTATTGAATGCAAGGTATTTGTACAAGAGACAGTAGAGTCAGTTATTGAATGAAAGGTATGTGTACAAGAGACATTAGAGTCAGTTATTGAATGAAAGGTAGTGGTACAAGAGACATCAGAGTCATTTAGAAGGGAAATAATAAGTTATAGAATCAAACACATGTGTACAAAGGACAGTAAAGTCAGTTATCGAATCAAACATGTGTGTACAAAAGACAATAGAGTCGGTCATTGAAACAAATGTATGTATACACACAGAAGAGTCGGTAATCTATGTCAGGGTCTGCGCTGAATGCATAGAAGCACCAGAAAGAATCGGTCAAGCCATTTGCCTCGCCCTCTGAAGGTCGTGGGTTCATTTCACAGCTGTGCAGTTCGCACATTAGTAGTGACAGAATCCAGGCATTGGTAAACTCAAATTGCAATGGGTCGACAGGTAAGGTTAAATCAGGAGTATATAATGGATTTTCTACCCACGATATTCAAGTATGCTAGGTAATGAGCAAGCTGATAGGCTGCTGCTGCTCCTCTAGGTGGTGAGATACCTTATGATCAAGTGGACATCAGGAAAGCTGTCTGGGATCAAATGGACAGTGTAGTAGAACAGATAGAGAATCCATACATTGAAGGACTAATTCAGTGGGAGTTGGGGGAGGGGGGATGAGTATAGGTTATGGGAGATATTCTACCCTGAGGGGGAAAACACAGGCAGACTTTTAATCAGGTTACAGCTGGTATATTGTAGCATGTCAACTCTTTGTTGGCTACTGAGGAAAGAGACGGAGCATCTATGGGAATGTCCTGAGTGTAGTTATGTCAATTTTTGATTCATTCATTCTGGATGAGCTAAAGATGCCTTTGACAACTGTCCTATCCACAGCTCTATGACAAGTTGAGGGAAAGCATGCCTGATCTTAGAGAGCGGATTGTGGCAGTTTGTGGGGACATCCTTGAGCCACATCTAGGGCTCAGCTCTGAAGATGAAGCTATGGTCGTTGCAGACACAAATGTGGTGTTTCACTCTGCTGCCACAGTCAAATTTGATGAGGAGCTCAAGTAAGCGTTTACTTTTCAGGAACTAACAAAGCACATTTACTACTCAGGAACTAACAAAAGACATTTACTACTCAGGAACTAACAAAAGACATTTACTACTCAGGAACTAACAAAAGACATTTATTACTCAGGAACTAACAAAAGACATTTACTACTCAGGAACTAACAAAACATACTACTCAGGAATTAACAAAGACATTTACTACTCAGGAACTAACAAAAGACATTTACTACTCAGGAACTAACAAAAGACATTTACTACTCAGGAACTAATAAAAGACATTTACTGCTCATGAACAACCCAGAACATTTACTATTCAGAAACTAACAAAAGACAATTACTTCTCAGGAACTAACAAAGGACATTTAATACTCAGGAACTAACAAAAGACATTAACTGTTCAGGAACTAACATAGGACGTTTACTATTCTGGAAATAACTAAGGACATTTAATGCTCAGGAACTAACATAAGACAATTACTACTCAGAAACTAACGTAAGACATTTACTGCTCAGGAACTAACAAAGGACTTTTACTATTCAGGACAGTGGCGCGGTGATTTATGTCACAGGCGTGAGGGGAAGTTAAGTCCAACATGATGTGTATAAGGAGATACTCCGTACATCACTCGGGCGCCAGTCCTTTACTACCCTGGTTGTACGGAACCTCACGCAAGACCCCTACAGCACGTCCTCGTCGTGCGCCACGGATAATGTCTCAATTGAGCATTAACAGAGCTGTCAGGGGATCTCGGAGTTTGGCGGCCCCCAGAGGTGATGTGCCCTTGTGGCTCTCATCAGCCCGCCCCCAAACGCTTGGGTGAAAAATGTTATCAAAACTCATTAGGAACATGAGTAGGTTTGCCAAACGTACAGCCAAAATTACAACCCTTGGTTAAAAGACTGCGGAGTAAAGAGAACATTGTTTACTGCACATCCTCTGTTAACCCTCAGTGTCGTCGTCACCGCGCTGAGGCCACAACAGCAACCATCCATCGGATGTCTAAGCCTAAATGTCCGACAAAACTAGATCATACGGATCAAAATCTGACCATCAAAATTTGTATTGAACTGAAAAAGACCGAATGTCCACACCCAAAGACCCCACCCGCCCGAGTGTTGGGACAAAACTGATAACGATATGCCTGAAGCAGGAGGTAAAATTCTGTCGGGCTAACGGCTCGTCAAAGAAATCCAACGTGCGAAGAAAAAAGAATGTACCTATCTGTGTGGTCACAAAAGTCCAAAACCCACGGGCTGCTCCCCGCTGACTTCCAGAGGGCGCAGCTCCTGTCGAGCGGGAGGCCTGATACGGTCGTGAGGTTAAGCAGGCATGTGCAGGACGTGACGATTCCTTGGGTGAGCCCAGAACCAGAGCGCCATGTGCCGGCTCTGCATGCATGGAAGCCTCCTTGGATGGCGGGGAATGCCCATGATCTGCCCCTGCCTTCCCTTGAGGGCCAACTGTTCCACAGGGGGCTGCCCCAAAGGGGTACTCCGGGGGCAATACCTGCGGCGAAGGAGACAAAGTGGACACCACACAAATCAGGCAACGTCTCGACCCACACAAAACAATGGCCACAGTCACCCTAGAAATAGGCCTGACGTCTTCCTTCGAAGCCAGCGTACAGCTGCCCATGAGGCAGGGAAATGAAAAACGGCTGTACACGCAAAAATCAGGTCCAGGTGAAAGCCAAAAGTCCAAGCGGACGATTAACCGGGACCTTCCACTGGAATTCACAGCCGGTGTTCGATGAAAAAAATAAAAAAACTATTCAGGAACTAACAAAGGACATTTACTGCTCAGGAACTAATATAAGATGTTTACTATTCTAGAACTAGGGACATTTACTGCTCAGGAACTAACAAGACATTTACTACTCAGAACTAACATAAGACATTTACTGCTCAGGAACTAACAAAGGACTTTTACTATTTAGGAACTAACAAAGGACATTTACTACTCAGGAACCAACAAAGGACATTTACTATTTAGGAACTAACATAAGATTTTTATTATTGAAGAACTATTCAGGAAATAATGTAAGACACTCACTGTTTAGGAAATAACTGTTAGAGAACATAAAACATTTACTGCTCATGAATTAAAATAAGACATGTACTGCTTATGATCTAAAGTAAGACATTTGCTATTTAGGAACTAAAGTAAGATATTCAGTGTTCATGAACTATTCAGGTACTAAACTGAGTCGTTTAATTTTCAAGAACTAAAGAAAGAACTTTTCTATTTAGTACTAAAATAAGATATTTGCTATTTAGGAACTAATGTAAGATGTTAACTTTTTAAGAACTGTCATAAAGCATTTACTCTGTAGTAACTAATGTAAGACATTACTTTGAGGAACTATTCAGAAGCTAAAGTATGAAATTCTTAAGATCAGGATTTTCCACCAGAGTTTACAGCCAGTGAATGTTAAAGAGAAGAAGAAGAAGAATCATTGACAGACCCTCAACCGTCTTGTGCCAAGCTGTCCTTTTTCTGCTTTTATTTCCCAGTGGAGCATAGGCCCTCAACCAACTCACACCAAGTCATCCTATCCTTTGTGTTTGTATGCAGCTCTCCCTATATTTTTAGTTTCAGTCTGTAGCTCTAGTTAGCATGTGGCGTTTTTTTTAATTTTGAATTTATTTGTGTATTCCTTTCTATTTCCATGTGGGTTCCAATGCAAGGAAATTCTAGTTATATTGTTCTCAGGTTGCCATATCCAACACCAGTATCTTTTCTTCACCTCTTGATTCACTGGAATTTGTTTAGTTCTCTTTAAAAGCTTACATTTGTGATTCTTTCATATTTGTTTTTTTTAAATAGCCTCTTTTCTGTGCAGGCACCAGTTAACAAATGTTTGTAGTTGTTTTGTAATTGTTTTACTTGTTCTGTCCTGTGATTTGTTAATGATTGTTTTTTTTTTTGTTTTTGTTTATTAGATTGTCAATTCAGATGAATGTTCTTGGAGTACGCAGAATGATAGAACTATCTAGAAAGATGACAAACCTGGAAGTGAGTGTTGTCGTTGGTTTTTGTTTTGTTTTTCTGTCTGTATAATTCTGACTAAGTGAGAAAATGAAAAATAGAGTGTGTGCCATAAGTTTCCATACATATTAAAAATTATATGAAAAAAATTATCATTTTTCATGGATGCCTTTTTTATTCTTATAAAATGCTCTACATGACTACTCTTGTTTTGAAAACAAAATGTTGATATGTGTCCTTCACTGCTGTAAAACACTTGTAACCGCAGCTGGAGTTATGCTTGTAATGGTGTGGGTGATGTGTTTATTTTCCCTATATATAGACCAGTGATTCCCAAACTATGCGCTGCATCACCCCGGGAAGCCGCAACCTCTTCACAGGATTGCCACAAAATATTTGAAGATACACAAGTTTTATTTTCTTTTACCTCATACATACGAATAGTCATACTTTTACTTAGGTTAGGGCGCCGTGGAGACATGTTAATTGAAAAAAGGCGCCGCGACTAAGACAAGTTTGGGAAACACTGGGATAGACACTCATGTGACACCCTGTAGAGTAGAATTAGTATGGTGGTTAGCAAGCTGAGGACTGACATTATAGCACTCAGGACATTCCAGTAAGTGCTCCATCACCCCATCGCCATCTTCAGCGGCAAATTTAGAGTTATTTTTCTGATTGTACCAGTAAAGTCAGATTAGATATATGTTGACCATAAGCAACATCCCCTGGTCATGATTGTACTAGTAAAGTCAGATTAGATATATGTTGACCATAAGCAACATCCCCTGGTCATGATTGTACCAGTAAAGTCAGATTAGATATATGTTGACCATAAGCAACATCCCCTGGTCATGATTGTACCAGTAAAGTCAGATTAGATATATGTTGACCATAAGCAACATCCCCTGGTCATGATTGTACCAGTAAAGTCAGATTAGATATATGTTGACCATAATCAACATCCCCTGGTCATGATTGTACCAGTAAAGTCAGATTAGATATATGTTGACCATAAGCAACATCCCCTGGTCATGATTGTACCAGTAAAGTCAGATTAGATATATGTTGACCATAAGCAACATTCCCTGGTCATGATTGTACCAGTAAAGTCAGATTAGATATATGTTGACCATAAGCAACATCCCCTGGTCATGATTGTACCAGTAAAGTCAGATTAGATATATGTTGACCATAAGCAACATTCACTGGTCATCCCTTGCTGCACCTTTCTTTTCAGACCATGATAATCTGTCTGTGCCTGTGCATTGTTTTCTGACTTCCAAAAGTCCCTATAACATCATCTAGATTGTCATGCATCAGTTTACCACCAAGGATGGCAGAACCAGCAGTCTGTTAACTCTTTCAGTCCCAACCAATGTACATTGTGTGGTCAGCTGTAAATTGTGTATACAAACAACGAATGATGTGTATTATATATTTTACTTGTGGTTCCAGCATGCTGAAGAAATCTGGATATGCTAACATACAGCATTGTATATGTTGTATCTTTGAAACTAATACACTGATGCTCTTTTCATTGTTTCTGTTATCTCCTTAAGTATTTAAAACTAAATCTTCTAGTGCCGAAAGAGTTAATTTCCAAACACACCGGCTCACCTGGAGAAAATATTTTGTGACAGTTATCTTGGGGAATCCCCAGGGATGACTGGATTTTTTCAGATAACTACAAATCTGGCCCCCGACCTTTGTAAAACTTCATTTCAGCATGGAACAGAAATCCAAGCCTCGAAATCTGATGCATCTATACTGAAATCGCTGGGGTATATAGAGAGAATTACATAAGAAAGTGAGACACAAATTTAAACATAAAAGGATTGAATTGGGTGAACTAATATATGACAAGGTAGATGGTGTGAAGGCCCTCTGGGAGCGAGTAAACAGTGCAGTAGTGCAAATAGAGCATTACGGTCTGAAGAGAATGGCACTGTAAGGAGTTGCCAGGGGATCTGGCCGATGCTCGATATACAATCAGACAGTTACTGGTGCCGTCGGAACTGAAACTCTTTGTTTTCTGCTAAAGATGGGGGAACGGAGTGCTTATGGAAGTGTCCCGAGTGTTGTGATGTTAATTCTTAAGTCACCATTCAGGGGGTTGAATGGAAGGAGACCATGAGACACCTGTAGCATTTAAACTAGCCTGGTGTGACCTGCAGTCTCATATGGTTATGGATGACAGTGGTATGTATTATGAGTTGTAGAGGCATCTGAGATAACTTAGATGTTTCCCTCCACAGGCCTTAGTCCATGTGTCAACAGCTTATGCGAACTGTGACAAGATGTCTGTGAAAGAAATGGTTTATGAGCCTCCACTACATCCAAACAAGATCATTGATGCAGTAGAGTAAGTTGATCCTTTCTTGTTGTTATACTGTGTTTACAGCCAGTAGGATTCATGTTCGATCAATCAATCAAATTTGTGTCTCTCCAAGCTGTGATCGAAAGGTTTACAGTACCACCCTGAGAGATGGAAAATCTCAGTCGTGATGGCAGACCAACAAAGTAGATCCCAGATACCCCATTCACCCTCTAGAGAAGTTATAATTATGGCACCAGTAATGGTGACACCCGACAGGTGTAACCTGCCCCACTATGTGCCCTATGCAGGTAATGGCCGAGAGGATCAGCTTCATTAGCTTAGGTTTTATACCATAAGGCTCAGTCTCTTTCCACACAGCAGCTGGTTGCCCATGAAAGTGTTGCACAAAGCATGAACTTCATAGCTCCCAATGTGGGTTTTGGGCCCCATTGTTCTGGAGGGGGGGGGGGATTCCTCCCCCATACTTGCTTTTCTCCAATTCATTCCTTCCTTCCTTCCCTCTTCTGCTGTTCATCCTTTCATTATTCCTGCTTTCATTCCATTCTCTTTCAGTCTTACATTTATTTCATTCATTCCTTCTTTTCCCATCCAGCAGCACTATTTTTTCCTCAATCCTTCCCCTTTCCTTTCTATATTTTTCCTGTCCCCTCCTTTATGCCACTTTATCTACCATCCTTTCCTCTTTAATTCTACTTTGCTCCCCTTTAATCTTTCCATATTTTCCTGTTTTTCATTACTTTACTCATGCATGCAGTCTTTTTCTTCTTACACCCTTCATTCCTTCCTTGCTATTTTGTTATACCATTGTTACTGAGTAAATTTATACACAATATAAACAACAGTTTAATTAACTTGCAACATATTTTATTGAATATTTTATTATAATTTTTATTCTGTTATTTAAAGGCTGACTTATTAATCTTCATAATGATAATTCATTTGTTGTTGCAAGTTAATTGAACTGTTGTTCAATCTGTGTATAAATTTACTCGATAACAATGGTGAGCACAGACGGCCCCTGGAACAAAATGGGAATTCCTGTAGGCCTGTTAGGCCTTACTGCTGGAACTGGTTGTGGGAAAAAACCTGTCATTACTGGGTCCATCTAGATAAAGATTCAACATCACAGTATTGAGGATGAGCCCATTTTAGCTCTGCCTCCCTCCTCAACGGCCAGCAAAGAGCCTTCATACTCATGATTCCTGTTGTCATCTGCTTCGCTACTCATTTTGCTTTTCCCTGAGTCTGGTGTTGTGCCCAGAGCCCGCACACACTCCCCGTTGCATCGTCTTCTCCAAATGCAGGTTCTGAATATCTTCTTTTACTTTTTCTTTATTTTTCAATATTTTGTTGAGCAGTATAGATTTGTTATTCATGTCTAATCCAGGTGGATGGATAAAGATTCGATTCAGGCCCTCACAAGCAAACTGATTGGTTCCCGTCCAAACACATACACATATACCAAGGCAATGGCAGAGTATCTCTTGGTGGAAGAGGGTGTTGGGTTGCCCATAGCAATAGTCCGTCCATCCATTGTCGGAGCCTCTTGGGAGGAGCCTATGCCTGTAAGTTGTCAGTTGTAATTTATGAATGTCACACATGGTCTCTGTGCACAGACAGAGAACTAACAGTTGAATACTCTCATAAAAATCAGATATGGTCTCTATGCACAGACAGAGAACTAACAGTTGAAAAGGTTAGTTGCGTATCCTTTACAGGACGTTGCAGAATCAACCCCAACAGCCCCTGGCTGTTGTGGGGTTTTTCTAGGCAAATTTACGTCCAGTGGTTTGCCATTGCTTTCTGGGCGGTTGGCTTTCTTGATACTACTGTCGACGCTAGGCGCATGGCCCGCAGCTGAGATTGAACCAGGTATCCCGAACAGTTGAATACTCTCATAAAAATCAGATATGGTCTCTATGCACATATAGAGGACTAACAGTTAAAGTGTGAAATGAAATGATCACTTTGCACAGAGAACTAATAGTTGAATTGTGATATGAAATGTCATACATGATCACTTTTGCACAGAGAACTAATAGTTTAATTGTGATATGAAATGTCATACATGATCACTTTGCACAGAGAACTAATAGTTGAATTGTGATATGAAATGTCATACATGATCACTTTGCACAGAGAACTAATAGTTTAATTGTGATATGAAATGTCATACATGATCACTTTGCACAGAGAACTAATAGTTGAATTCTGATATGAAATGTCATACATGATCACTTTGCACAGAGAACTAATAGTTGAATTGTGATATGAAATGGCATACGTGATCACTTTGCACAGAGAACTAATAGTTTAATTGTGATATGAAATGGCATACATGATCACTTTGCACAGAGAACTAGTAGTTGAATTGTGATATGAAATGTATTACATGATCACTTTGCACAGAGAACTAATAGATGAATTGTGATATGAAATGGCACAGAGAACAAGTAGTTGAATTGTGATATGAAATGTCATACATGATTACTTTGCACAGAGAACTAATTGTTGAATTGTGCTATGAAATGGCATACATGATCACTTTACACAGAGAACTAATAGTTGAATTGTGATATGAAATGTCATACATGATCACTTTGCACAGAGAACTAATAGCTGAATGTGATATGAAATGTCAGATTGATCTCTCTGCGGAGACAGTGAACTAACAGTTAAATTATCATGTGAAATGTCAAACATGATCTCTGTGCAAAGACAGTGAACTAACAGTTAAATTAGGATATGAAATGTCAGACAGGCAGTTAGACATCCAGAAACAAAAAAAAAGTTAGTTTTATAGGTATATCAACAGACAACCGGCATGGCAAGCAGTGAGACAGACAGATTAGTAGGTAGTTAAGGTAGTTGGCAAAGTAGCTGAGTAGGTAAGCAGTTAGCTAAGTAACAAAGCAAACTTCATGTTTGATTGCTTACATGTTTGTTATCCCTGCAATTACATTGGCTAGTTGTTGGCTGTAAACATTGAAAATATGTTCTCCTGTTGTTAACAATGTATTATGCATGCCACCTGATAGTGTGAAACATTCAATTGGTTGTATAACATGTTGTTGATCTGTCTCTGGTGTTATTCATTGTTTATAATTGCTTCACACAACAACCCACACCTGTGACCAGCTGGTACTGTTAGCCTTGGATCTCTGACCTGTTGTATTGTCAGTGTACCAGCCTGCTGTGGGTCATTCAGTATGTCATCAAAATCATTTGGTTGGCAAAGTGTGTGTATGTGGGGAACACAGAGCCTTACAGTTTTGTATTGTGTTTTACAATTGCTGTAGGGAATTTACAGAGAGAGAGAGAGAGAGAGAGAGAGAGAGAGAGAGAGAGAGAGAGAGAGAGAGAGAGAGAGAGAGAGAGAGAGAGAGAGAGAGAGAGAGAGAGTAAATCTTAATAGAAGGGAGGGGGGGGGGTGCCTCATTTATCTGAAAACTGGACTCTCCGTCACCATTTACAGGCCACCATGTTGTTTAACCATGACCAACATACCTTGGCTTTTAAAACAAGATGCTACTTATAAGCCAACTGTCCTTATGATCAGACCAAGTACCATGTCGGAATATAAACCGTACAAGAGCAGAAGTGAAAGGTAATGGACAAGGCAGACTGTGATATAGGTGGAAGGATAACATCAAGGGATCGATACACAGCGGAATTAGAGAGTGTACATCCAGAGAAACAGACAAGGTATATTGGAAATTTATTGCACCAAATCTATGTGGAAATGGAACAGAATTTATTGATTCTTCTTCTTCTTCTTCTTCTTCTTCTTCTTGTTCTTCTTCTTTTTCTTGGCATTCACCAGCTGTAAACTCTGGCAGAAAGTTCTGGTTGTTTATCCCCTTCTGGACTTATGTTTTGTTTCAGAACTTCAGTTTTGCATGCATATCCATTTTACAGATCTGGTTTATTTGTATGCAGACTGTCAGTTCCTCGCCTCTCAGGCAGATGCACTCCAACTTTAAAGGAGACACCTCTAATTTGTAGACTTTTGCAACATTATTCTTAGGGGTACAGTGGGTCTTTCCCCCCTTTCCCAAAATGAATACTCAAAATTTAGAGGAGTAGAAAAAAGATTGTGAAACGGTCTATGCACGAGGTTTCCACACGAAAAGTTTTTATTCTGTAAACGTTATCTTTCATTTGCTTTGTCCCAACCTGATAAAAGGACACATTTACATAATGACCTCACTTCTTGTTTCCTTTTTCTATTCAGGGCTGGGTAGATAACATGAATGGACCAACAGGATTGCTAGCAGCAGTAAGTTGATTAAATATATTTTAATTATTGTCTCAAGCAAGAAAAACATACCATATTATTATCTCAAGACACTTATGGGAAAAAAATAATAGGAGAAGGCATGATACCAGAAAAGAAGGGCAGGGGCCAGCCAGCACAAAGATGGGTACAGGATATAAGTGGCACCATGGGTAGGAAAATGCATGAAGTGGGAGAGCTGGTGTGTTTCTTTCGTGCTGATGAGCACTACATTCTGCTAGGACCTGCTAAATGATGATGACACTACTGCATCTTATATACTCTGTTTCCACAATTTCTGGCCTGCAGTTGTAGTTTAAAGCTGTGTTGTGGGCACCTTGGCATTGGTCGAAACTTTTCTGTCTTTCCAGATGACAGTGCTATGTTGTGCTATACGGATGATTAGGAGCATGTGTTGATTTTTGGGTGTTCGTTGTAATTAACGGGCTGATAGTTTAGCTACTGCCACTGATCTGACAATGAGCCTTTTTATAATAAAGCACTCTGGGATCAGGTGGACAGTGCAAAAGAACAGACAGAATAGCCATGCCTTGAAAGACTAATTCAGCATTGGTTCTGGACAGTATTCAGCACAGGGGGGGGACTTTTAAATCAGGGCATACTTTTAAATCAGGGCAGACTTTTAAATCAGGGCAAACTTTTAAATCAGGCTGCAGTTAGCACTAGTAGCATGAGAATTTTGCGTTGACTACTGAGGCAGGAGGTGGAGCATATATGTTAATGTGGCAAAGGTCATTTATTGATTCATTCAGGGACTAGTTTGCCGTGCCATAAAATTCAGTTTTTAGGTTGCATCTCCTCTTTCTAGACTAACACTAGTACCCTGCCCCATTCACTGCTTCGCTGTAAGCTGTGAACACAAAAAGGATGTCAAGTTTGGTATCTGCGTGCCGAAATTTAGTGTTAACAGAGAAAACGTAGTACTATCTACTGTTATGTCAGAAAACACATAGTACTATCTTCTGTTATGTCAGAGAACACATAGTACTATCTACTGTTATGTCAGAGAACACATAGTACTATCTACTGTTATGTCAGAGAACATGTAGTACTATCTACTGTTATGTCAGAGAACACGTAGTACTATCTACTGTTATGTCAGAGAACACATAGTAGTACTATCTACTGTTATGTCAGAAAAAAATGTAGTACTATCTACTGTTATGTCAGAGAACAAGTAGTACTATCTACTGTTATGTCAGAGAACACATAGTACTATCTACTGTTATGCCAGAGAACACATAGTACTATCTACTGTTATGTCAGAAAACACATAGTACTATCTACTGTTACGTCAGAGAACACATAGTACTATTTACTGTTATGTCAGAAAACACACAGTACTATCTACTGTTATGTCAGAAAACACATAGTACTATCTACTGTTATGCCAGAGAACACATAGTACTATCTACTGTTATGTCAGAGAACACATAGTGCTATCTACTGTTAAGTCAGAAAACACATAGTACTATCTACTGTTATTTCAGAGAACAGATAGTACTATCTACTGTTATGTCAGAGAACACGTAGTACTATCTACTGTTATGTCAGAGAACACATAGTACTATCTACTGTTATGTCAGAGAACACATAGTACTATCTACTGTTATGTCAGAGAACACGAAGTACTATCTACTGTTGTGTTAGAGAACACATAGCTTCTTGAACTTTTCTGGATGAAGAACGAGCTGTAAATGCCCATGCACTCTTATGTCCTTGTATAAGGAACCCGTCTGTGAAGATCACCACAACTGTCTCTATCTGACTTGTCACGGATAAACTCGCAAACCTCGGCATTGACAGCAGTAGGATTCTACTCTAAACAACTCCTATCACAACACAGGGTAATGTGAGATTGGACGCTTTAGACGCTGGTATCCATGTCCTCACCTGGATCTGTATGTCATTCTCTGCCTTACCCACCCATGATTTGCCCCTTTTAAGTCTATTGCCCTTTTTCCCGGAGAGTGGGAAAACATCTTATCTTATACAGGTAGTTTTTTGTTTTTGTTTTTTGTTTGTTTGGTAACAAGCATAGATTTATTTTGTCCAGATAGGAAAAGGCTTGTTATTTGTTATGCATGGTAATGTTGGCTGCACGGCTGATGTGATTCCAGTAGACACAGCCACCAATGCAATGATTGCAGTGGCCTGGTACACAGCTGTTGAGAGGTGAGTTATCCAGTGGTTTGTCTGGTGTTCAGTGGCTACTGTCAGAATTACCTGTAAATATAAATGCTTCTATTTCCAGTAACATCACCCATATATATTTTCTGCCCGGCTCTCTAGCGTAGTTGGCTAAACCAGACTGCACGGTGACCGGGTGACAAACTCCTTGTGGTCTGGGTTCACTCCCGGGGGTAGGCAGAAAAGCCACATTTTCTCCCAGATTTACGGTACCTATCATGGAATCAAGGCAGAAGGGTTGCGATATCCATAGTACCGGGCCAAAGAGTTAACAACTCATGGTTTCTGGATATTTTTAAAAAAAAAATGTTATTTTCTGGACAACCTTTCATGACTGAATACGCTGTGTTCTAGAGATGTTGAGACAAAGGCGTTAGAAATAATGAACTGTCTGGTGGAATTTGGTAGTAAACAGAGACAAGAATGGAGAAGCCAGTTGCAGGACAGAGAAAGAAATGTCAGTTCAACTCCTGCTGGGTGCGTTGAGCATGGAGAGTTACTACTGCCTACCCCTGGCTTGAGAATCAGCTGTAAACACATGTTGTTAATGTAACTTACTCATAGAGCATGTTGAGACAGGTAAAGTCAGGCATGCTGCATGCAGAGTGGCAAGCATTGCTTCAGAGGTTCTGGGTAGTTAGCCTTTTTTTTTTAATTTTTCTCCAGGATATGCCAGTGTGTTGGGAAATAAGCAGGCAAATAGACTGGCTGGTTCAGGACCACTTGGTGGTGAATTGATGTATGACAAGCTAGATGTTGTGAGGGTCCTCTGGGAACGAGTGAACAGCGAGGAGGCACAAATCTGAGGTCTGAGGAGAATGGTGCTGCAGGGGAGTTACCAGAGGTTCTGGCCAACACAGCATTCAAGGGAAAGGAGAGACGGGTATACAATCAGACAGTTAGTGGTGCCACGAGAATTGGAACTCTTTGCTTGCTGCTGAAGATGGGGGAGGGAACACTTATGTGAGTGTCCCGAGTACTGTGATGCCGATTCTTAATTGAACATTCAACAACATTCTGCATGAAGACACTGAGATGGCTGCTGTATTGGAGGTCATAGCACAGTGTGGTCAGACTAATGTGCAAGGATGTTGATACGTATAACAAGTAACAACCAGTCTGTGTTCTTTGTTAACACTGAATGCTGGGTTGTGTATATAAAACCTGACATTCCCCATTTTACCAGTCACCTCGGGCAGAGGAGTGCTTTGGGGAGAATACTAACCTTATCCTAGGAATAGGAGATGCAACCAGACTTGATGTTTTTGCCTTGGTTGGCAGCAAGTCTAGGAGGTAAGTTCCAACAGGCAGACAAGATAGAGCACTGCCACAAAACTTGACCTCTAAAAGCCAGCCTGTAAACTAAGGTATCATCAGAACATGTAAAATCCACTAATAGGCCCGGATCTTGCAGTGAGTCATTACTAATAGACAGATTTTTGGTCTGCCTGTGGCTGAAACCTCATTCACCCTGTCAGTTAAAGCTTTGATTGCTGTTTTCTGGATCAGTTCTGCTTGGAATAAAAGTTCAGCAAAAAATGATACAGACGTGTTTTAAGAAGGCTGGATTTGTCAGAGCCCAAGAGTTTAAAGATCTAGCACCATCGGTCAGTTCATCCGCATTGGTAGAATTCAAAGGAATAGATTTTTGAGGTTCTTGTTGCAGTGGAGGAAGCTATGTTTGCTAAATCATCTGTTTTTATTTGCATGTCATTGCTGTTTTTACTAAGCAGAACAAAATCATCAGCAAAATCAAGATCTTCCAACTGTGTGTTTTCCACCCAGTCAATGCTGGTGTTTCCACTACAGCAGTATCATCATCATCATCATGTAGCAGGTCCTTTGCAGAACGTCACTCTCATCACGGTCTGCCTGTAGCAGGTCCTTTGCAGAACGTCGCTCGCATCATGGTCTGCCTGAAAGAAACTCTGACTCTCGCCAGTTCTCCCGCCTCATGTACTTTCATACTCAAAGAGTCACTTATATCCTGTCCCCATCTTCGTGTCGGTCGGCCCCCCCTGGGCTGCATAGATGCTTGTAGACATCTTTACAGCCTGATGCTTGTATTTACAGCCTGAGATATTTCATCTATCCACAATTTACTTGGCTGACCTCTGGCTTTACTTCCATGTTGTCTAGGTGACAGGGCTGTCTGTGGTGCGTTGTCTGGTGGTAGTCCTGACATATGTCCAAACCATTTGATCTGTTATCTCTTAGTGTAGTTTAATACTGGTTTCCTATTATTATCAACAGACCAAAGGATGTTCTAGTGTACAACTGCACAAGTGGACAAATCAACAGGCTCACCTGGGGCACCTGGCGTAAGTCTGACTGCTTTTTGTCTTCTTCTTAAGTCACTTGTTTGCTTGTTGTAGAACCTAATGGAAATATATTCAAAGTATTAGACAAAATAAAATGCACATCTTGAATGCCCTTTAAAGTAGTAAAACAGTAGGGTAACAAGGGCAGTCACAGTTTCTGATTCCCAGTCAGTGTGTTGAAATTTTGAGACTAGACATTTGTCCCATGAGCATTGCCACATCTAAATTACAGGGACTGGCGTTGATATACTGTCAAGAATATGCAAGTGTGTGAGGGAATAAATGAGCAGATTTTCTGACAACAGACGCATTAGCTAGAGGCAATAACTGAGCTTTCAAGAATGTGAGTACAAAATGTGAGTGCTTGCTGTGTGCCATCGTCATGGAACAGTAGACATTCTTTGGTCATGTTAAACGATGTCAGAGGCAAGGCGCAGTAAATGACTGACAGTTTGCTTGCTTGTTTATCTCTTTGCAGAAGCCTCTTTGAAGGAGATTTTCCTGAACTACCCCTATCACAACATTGCCAGAGTGCCAAACCCACAGTTTACCTTGAACATGTGAGCAACCTTGTCATCTTTGTGCCGTCTCTTGACCTTTAACCTTTTTGGTAAACACGTGCCTGTAAAAGGTACACAGGTTAAGGGCTTGTTCTGAGAGGTCGACCATGCAAACTATGGATAGAGGAGTTAACAGATTACCTGGGAATCCCTATTTGCAAAGCACACAAACAGGGACTTTTTGGTAAATTATACTTCACATCGCACCATGAGGTACCAGAGGATCAAAATGAGATGAGATGTGTTCTGGGAAATAGAAACATTGTGCACCTGTATGTGTGCACATATGCACACACACACACGTGCATGTGCGCAAAACACACACACACACACACAGACCCTTTCTAAACTACATAAAAATATATCATACCTTGCTAAATGAGTTTATTAGCACAGCGAGTAGCCTTCGTGCGTGACAACCCAGATTTACCTGGTCTAGAAAGGGGTACCAGGAAATGTTTTTCAAAGTAAAGGCAGTGAGCAATATATTGACAAGATCACAAGTTATGTGTCTGTTGGGGTATTAAAAGTATGAGGCTAGCATAATATACCCAGTATGTCCGTACACAGGCAGAGTCCTGGGAGATAAAGGCGACCAGTGTGATGTTGAACCACATCATCTATCGAAGACTGATTGGTGTATAAAAAGATGAGTCTGGCCTCATATGCTCGGTGCAGCACTGGGGTGACACAAAGGGACCATTAGTGTTGTTTTTTTGTTTTTTTTAACGTTTATGCCCCAAGAAGGTTAAAGGGTAAAGTTGAGAGAATCGACTATATTGCACCGGCTTTACTCCCACATGGCTCATTCTTTCTTCTCAGAATGGCTAGCTAGCTGCTGAGAGCGTCACACAAAGCATGAGCACCGCAGCTCTGGTTATGACCCCTAGTGGTCGTGGTAGAAAATGCACTTGTGAAATTAACGACTCAGCCATAAACGAACCCACAGCCTTCAGAGTTTGAGGCACACAGCTTTACTTCGCCATGGAGACCACCCTTATTCCCAGGTCATTTAATGTAATTTTTTTATGGACATAAGCTTTACAATTCCATAATGAGAATTAATCTTTATTTTTTATATATATATATTCAGTCTTCTTAGTAGAGTTGATTGTGAACTTTCTGTTTTCTAGATTCTGGCGTGACACCGTCTGGTTCTTTTACCAGCTTATGCCAGCCTATATCATGGACTTTTATCTTCGGATAACAGGACAGAAACCCATGTAAGTATCAGAAGCTGGATGTCTCCACACAGATACATGCATTCATTCATTCATTCACTCATTATCCTATTGTGCCATTATATGTCATATAGGGCTTGCAGTCTATTCCTCCATTCACTTCTGTTCTGTGCTATCAGTTGAATATTGTGGACTCGATCCAGTCCAGCATCTGCCATGTTAGAAGCCCGTGGGCTTTCACGGCTCAGGTTGGAGAGAGAGCCAAAGAAGAAGAATAAATCAATACAGAACTGGTGTTGTCAGCCGCTACACACTGCAGGATTTATTGAGGAGGGGATCAGAACACTTATGGACTGAGTGGTTCAACATGCAGTGAGGATAATCTGTCGACTAACTAACTAACTAACTAAACCCTGACCTGTCTCATCAGTGTTTGTTTTAGTTTTTTTTGGGTATGCCCACCTTCTCAATCCCACTATTTCCCATTTCAATGCCTGTCTGGTGATTCTCTGTCTCTCTGTTCTCAGAATGAGTCCAAAATAGCCCCATCTTCTTTGTCTTTCTGTTCTCAAAATGAGCCAAACATAGCCCCATCTTCTCTGTCTTATAACTGGGTATGCTAACGGTTGCCCAGAGATTTCCTTTATTTCTTCATTCCTTTTGAATTCACCTCTTTTTTTTTCATTTTATTTTTCTTAGGCATTTGTTTTTGAAATGCCACATTTATGCTCCACATATATTCTGTGCATACTGACACACATCTGTAGATTACATTTCTGTGTTCCAAACACATTGGCACACAAGGAGGATATATTATATGTTTATAAAAGTGTGTAACGGTGTTCTCAAGTACTTTACACTGCAGCCAGCAGCATAAAGGTTGCCTAGCTTCTCTTCAACAAACACTTCTTTGGCCACATATTGAGAAGAGAGACATTGGAGAACATCGTGACAACTGGAAAGATCAGTGGGAAAGGGGGTAGAGGCAGACCAAGAGAGGCGATGCTGGATGGGCTGAAACGATGACATGGAGGGATATCATCAAGAGAGCTGTTCCAGGCAACATGGGATCGTGATCTGTGGAGACGCATGAGCACCTACGCCAGTTGGCAGGGCACATGATGATGATGAGCTTCTCTTTGCAGGGGTGAGAAGTGAAATTGAGTAGCCTGCCCACTGCCTGTAGAGCACTGAGCTCAGCCCAACCTCCTCCTGGGACATGCAGGAAAACTAGCCTTGAGGTTTGAGGCTAATGGAGCAATGGCTCGCCAGGGAGGGGGCGGGCAACAGCTAGGTCAGTTATTTTGTTGTTGTTGGCCCTGTCAGGCGACAGGTCTAGCAGGCCGGCAGTAGTATAATCACCCACCGCTACACAAGAGAGAATGGCGTGCAAAAAGGTATGCAGATCCATCACCCAAGCAGTGCAAGACAAATACAGACACCTGGTGTTAATGAGGGAACAAATCAATTTTTTAAAAAAAGAAGAAGAAGAGAAAAGGACCATGGTTCCTCAAGTATGACTTTTTTGTAAGAAGTTTTGTAAGTTATGACCATTAGAATGGCCTAATTATTCCACTTGTTGAAAAATATAATGCTGCTATTTCTCTGATATCCCCGATGTAGGTTTGTCCGAATACAAGATCGCCTGTCCAAAGCCGTCACCACACTGGAGTATTTTACCTCCAATGAGTGGCACTTCCATAATGATAACATCTTTATGTTGCTGAGCAAGATGTCAGAGGAAGACAAGCGGACGTTCTGCTTCGATCCACGCAACATTGACTGGAAGAAGTACATGCTGAACTATTGTCTAGGGGTGAAGCAGTTTGTGCTGAAGGAAGATATGGCTGAGCTCCCACAAGCCAGACGGGCCTTACTGAGGTTTGTCATACTTCTCATTTGTATGGCTATTTGTGTTGTGGTTATTTCTATCACTGTTGATATCTTCTTTCTTTCTCTCTCTCTCTCTCTGAGTGTGTGTGCATGTGTCTCCTTCCCTCTCTCTCTCTCTGTCTCTGTCCGTCTGTCTCTCTCTCAGTCACACATTACTTGGTACTCATTTTAGGCTGGGTCAACCTGGCAGCGAAAGTCAACTGTTAAATAACCCATTTTAACACAGATTAGAACCCTAGACCTTCTGGCTGCGAGGCGAATGCCTAGCCACCAGCTACTCCTGCTCCAAATGTTGCTGTTTCTATTGACTTATTGTTGTTATCGTTTCTGTTATTAATGTAATTTTTGCATTTAATTTCAAAGTTGACATTGTTCATGTTATCGTTACTGCCCCAGCTCTTGTTGTTGTTGTTATCCTTGTTATTGCAAGTATAAACTTAATTTCCCCAAGTTTACGTGCACTGTTTTCTAAAAGTATAGGGTCTAAAAACAGGGTTCATCCTAGACAGTGGTAGTAGATTTTGACCAAATAATCTGTTAGGAAAAAGGGCCACATTGGTGATGCCGGTTCAAGGGCTACATAAAATAGGAGGAAAATTATAAAAAGAAAGTTCTTTCCCGCTGTAATAGTTTCTGCACTTGTTCTCATGCTCATTATTTTGTGCTTGTTACATTAGATTTACATATGTTTAAGTACTTAGGTACCATGATAACATTTCAGATGGAAGATGCATTTAAAAAAAAAATTTTTTATATTGAATAGCTCAAGCAAAGGCAGCATTTTACAAAATGAATAATATTTTACGTAAGCTTTCTTTGTCAGTTGAGACGAGAAAGAGAATTCTTAAAAGCTGTATAAATTATGTCTAGATATATGGAATTGGACAGTTAGTAGATGGTGAAAAATAGTTTGGAAGCTGCAGCAATGTGGTTTTATAGACGAATGATGAGAATACCCTAGACAGATATAAAGAGTAATGAGGACGTCCTGAAAGAAACTCACGGAGAGAACTGACTGCCCACATCAGAAAGAGACAATCTACATTTTTTAGTCATGTCATGAGGAGGAGAAAGCTGAAGGGGAGCAGAGGGAGACAGAGGGAAAAGATGCTGGACAGTTTGACATCATAGTATGGAGGATCATCTGTGTTAGAGTTGATTGAAAATTACATGAGACAGAAGGTTGTGGATAGACATGACTACCAACACCACACAGCATGGACTTTAAGAAGAAGATGTATACTTAAAAGGTCAGTGAGAAAAAAGTAAGAAGGATGAAATGAAATATGATACATTAAAAGAAATCTTTGTATTTCTATGTTTCTCATCAGCTTCTTTCCATTTACACATCCTAGGTTACAACGTATCCAGATCCTCCTGAAAGTAATCACAGGCGTTGTCATTTGGCGCTTGCTGGTCAAGCGGGTTCCTGTCTTTCATTCCCTGTGGAACCTCCTTTTGAGCTGGGTTCTGTTCCTGTTTGTGAAAGTACCACATGTGGCAAGATCCTCATAGCCCGAACCCCTGACCAGCAACTTGTAGTGTTTTTGCAGTTTGACATATTGCTGTTTTTTTTTTTTTCAGCAGCTAGTATTTAGTCTTAAACATTTGCTGTTGGAATATATTTTATTGCATTAACCCATTGGGCCCAAGGGGCAGCTAATCCAGCATTACCATCAATACCCCCCCCCCCCCCCAGATGTTGAACCAGCGTATTGTTTATTTGAGGATTGTGGTAGAGAATTCCTATTTTCCGCCCTCCACCCACACACACACACATACACATGCATGCACGTGCACTCCCTCCACAAGGCCTCCTGGGTTGAAAGGGTTTATTTTTAAATTGATAATAGCATAATTTTATTCAAACCCATGCTTGTCACATAGTGCCATACCGGTGATAGTTTTATTTATGTAAATATAGTTCTGCTTCCATTGTGTCTAAGTGACAGGGCTCTCTATGAGACACTGTCTGGTGGCAGTCTGACACATATCCAAACCATTTGATCTGTTGTCTCTTATTGTAGTTGAGTACTGGTTCCGTCCCAACTTGTTTCCTGATATCATAGTTTCTGACCCTGTCTCTACTAGTTACATTCACCATAGATTTGTCATTTCTGTTGTTGCAAATTTTTATTGTATTTTTATTTTGTGCACTTTTCTTGTTTTCCTTTTGTCTACGTTTGGCACTGGTACCACAGTGTTATCGTGCACCTTACCTGTAGCAACATACAGGTGTGAGTTGGGGACTGTCTCCCAGTGCTTAAGGAAGAAAATAAGTACTTTTGAGCTGAAATGCTATAGAAAGATTCTAAGAATAACATGGAGAAAGAAGAGAAGAAATAGTGATATTCTAAAAGATCTGAACATCAAGGAAGATTGGATAATAAACAGCATCTTGTCTCGGAAGCTGACATTTTTTTGGCGATATTAAGCACCAGGGCGGAATAGAAGAAAATAAAAGCAGAAGGCATGGTAACAGAAAGGAGGTGCAGGGGCAGACCAATACGAAGATGGGAATAGGATATATATGACTTCTTGGATATGGAAGTTCACAAGGCAGAAGAGCTGGCAAAAGACAGAGTTTTTTTCAGGAAGACCATGTTGAGAGGGATGACATGCTATGGGATGATGATGAACATAATGTAAAAATACTATATTGAATAGTGCCATTTTGGTTGTACGTTAGTGGCGATATCAGAGTTGAAGGGACGTATGTATGTGTAACATAAAAGACATTTTCTTAAAGTACACAGTGACATGGAAGTCACTGTCGCCAGGGACAACACAAGGCTGCCTGAAGGTTCTGGATTTAAATCCTTATCCAGGTGGATTTTTATAATTGACCTGCAGCTCAAAGGTTGAACCGCGGCTCAAAGGTTGACCCAGGAAATTTGTACCATGAAATAACCTGAGAAGTAAAGATCGTCAGCGTCATAACAAATAACCATTGGGTGCACTCTGGTCTGTTGAAGTGTGAATCTAGCATCATATATCTGGGAGCTGCCATGCTCCAAAGGGAACCAGACATTCTTTTTAAAAATGACCTTGACTTGCAGGTTGACCCAGCCTTAAATGGGTACCAGGTTTAAATAAATGGGTGGGAGAAAAAACGTAATATTGTAAGATTTTTACAGTGCAAAAGATTTAAGTAGAATACTTAAACACATCAGACAGACAAAGAATAATTCCCAAGCAAAAGCATTAAAATAAACACCTACATGTTTCATTATTTGTTGATACGCACCAGTGCATCCTGATGATTCAACTGATGTCTTCCAGACAAAAATGTGAGACAGATATTGTGCTGTTTGGCTTTTTAAGGATGCAGGCACATTCTGATGATCTTATGCTGTTTTCTATCTTCTCATGAGGTACTGCTGATCATGATCTTAGAGTTACCTCAATTGTATGTTAATTTTTTGACCTTATACACTATTTTATTTTGTTTTAACTCTTTGAGTCCCAAGGAACGCATCATACGTTCATGCTTCCTACCTAGAAGCCCAATAAACGCATGATACGCCGATTTTATGACTTTATTTACTACCCCCTGGGCCTGTGATGCTAAACCCCCTGGGACTCAAAGAGTTAAGGAGCGTGATTGCCATATCTGCCCCATTCAACCTCGTTAACTTGTTGGTTATAATTTGGTTATAATTATATTAAATCTGGACTGTAACAAGCCACAGGTCCTTGTCCACATCATTAGGTGTGTTTGGTATATGATGCCGTTGCTAAATTTATATTGCACTAATCGGCATTTTATGCTAGACCAGCCGCCTTTACTTTCCTAAGCTACGAACTTCCATTATACCGTGGTTCCCCCCGGGAAGTGACAAAATGTATTTTATAAATCACCTCCATAAAGAGAAGTCACTGATGCTGAAATAAGGGCCCTCATCCTCAAACACATTTGACCAGGTTTTATCGTCATCCATACAGGTGGCTTAGTCATTTGTGGGATGTGGTCTGGGTGGGCATACACAGCACAGGTGAATGGGTGACCAGGTGATGTCATCAACTGTACAGGTGACTTAGTAATTTGTGGGATGTGGTCTGGGTGGGCATACACAGTACAGGTGAATGGGTGACCAGGTTTTGTCATCATCCATACAGGTGGCTTAGTGATTTGTGGGATGTGGTCTGGGTGGGCATACACAGCACAGGTGAATGGGTGACCAGGTAATGTCATCAACTGTACAGGTGGCTTAGTGATTTGTGGGATGTTGTCTGGGTGGGCATACACAGTACAGGTGAATGGATGACCAGGTGATGTTGTCATCTATACAGGTGGCTTAGTTATTTGTGAGATGTGGTCTGGGTGGGCATACACAGTACAGGTGAATGGGTGACCAGGTGATGTTGTCATCTATACAGGTGGCTTAGTGATTTGTGGGATGTTGTCTGGGTGGGCATACACAGTACAGGTGAATGGATGACCAGGTGATGTTGTCATCTGTACAGGTGGCTTAGTGATGTATGGTATGTGGTCTGGGTGGGCATTAAAATTTAGTTGTGTATCCAGTACAGGACGTTGCAGAACCAACTCCAGGATTTTTTTGCTGTTGTGGTTTTTCTAGGCAAAATTTACGTCTGGTAGTTTGCCATTGCTTTCTGTGTGATTGGCAGTTGGTACCACTGTCTAAAGAAAAATAAAGAAAAGAAAGCAAGGCATTGAGTTCAGCTACAACTAGTATGAGAGTGGAGAAAGCAGCTGTCACAGGTGCAATTGCTAGTTATTCACTCAGTCATGATCATCATGGACAAAATGTCATGGACCGTGTTGTGTGGAAAGGGCATATCAGAAAGGGAATGAGAGTGAAGGAAAAATGATTGCAGAAAGGATGAGAGCTGAGCGTCTGAAAAGAAACGAATTAAACACAAATGTTGACAACAATGGTCCTGAAATCCCATGCCATCATTGTGGAAGACTTTTCTTGACACGGTGGGTCTTGCTAGTCACACTCGCCATCGCCATGGGCTTAGTCTCATTCTTCCTAATAGCGCAATATAACACTATCGTCTGGAAAGGTGCCAATCATCATGATCACCCCCAGTTGATGATTCTAGGTATTCGTGCAATCATTTTATGATCACCATATGTTGAATCTAACTATTCATTCAATCATTCTGTAATCACCATTTGTTCATTCTGGCTATTCGCTTAATCATTATATGATCACCGCTGTTTGATGATTCTAGCAGTTCTTTCAATCATTCTATGGTCACCATTTGTTGAATCTAACTAAATATTTAATCTTTCTCTAATCACCAGTTATGATATGATCACCATGAGTTGTTGATTTGTAACTATTCATTCAGTCATTCTGTGATCACCATTTGTTGATTCTAGTTATTGCCTCAATCATTCTACGATCACTACTTTGTAAGTATTCACCAATTCATTTATTCACATCTAATTCAGAGATTCCCCTCTTCACATGTGTAAAAAGAAAGAAAGAAAAAACCCAGTCAAGCAAAACTCGCAGTAAATGCTAACATGTCATTTCAGTAACCCTAGACTTGTATCCAAGTGGTGGACATATAAAACGTAACTATACTGTGGTAAATGATAAAGTATTGATTCTGTGTGTCTCCAATAATAAGTATAGTTTTTGTACTAATGTTTGCTCCACAGAGCTTGAAGACTAATTTTAGGGGACCTGTTTTTAAATTAAATATCTACATTATTTTGTATTACAAATACTTTATGATAATTTATATTATATGTTAGTTGTGTATCCTTTACAGGACGTTGCAGAACCAGCCCCAGCATTTTGGGGCTGTTGTGGTTTTTCTTGTCAAATTTCACGTTTAGTAGTTTGCTATTCCTTCCTGTACGGTCAGCTCTCGGTAACACTGTTGAAACCAACCCAAGACAAGTTGTCTGGGTTCGACCCCGGCATTATGAAGCATGTTTGCAAAGCCTAAGCCATAATTTGTGTTACACATTGTTGAAATCATTAATGTCAGTGATATTATTTGATAACAATTTTTTGTACATTTATTGCTTATGATTCAATGTTTTTTTTTTTTTTGGTGTTTTAACGTCTGAACAAAATCCGTCCATCTGGCTGATGATTGTAACTAGGCCTTATATCAGGGGTAGGGCTTATATTACTGGCATTGTTAAGAAATAATGCTAGGGTTTTCCTTCGGGTTACATCTTTTTTTTCCCTAGGAAATGCAGTAAGGCAACAATTCCTAACCAAATCTATCTCTAACTTTCTTCTTTTACCCCACCAGGACATCACACAAGTGATAAACACCCGATGGCACAGAGATCACCCGTGGAGAGGTCCCAGAAACCGCTTTCAGCCATTAGACCATATTTATGGCCGGGCTATATTTCGGCCCCTGGCAAGAGCCAGAGTAGGGCTTCAAAAAACGAAAAATTGCATCCTACAAGGGGATGTCTAAAATGCCTAATGAAATAACCAAAGATGGATTTAAGTATTACTGAGCTCTTCTAGTCCTACAGTTGCTTGAACTGAGACAGACTGCATTGTAAA